ATATTTTTTTACTTTTTAAGACTCTTTAAGATGAAATCAAATTGCAGCTAAATATTTCCCTCTTTAGAAAGCAGTTCTGACATGTTATCTATAGCTCTTCTAATGACAGATGTGTTTTGGCTCCTTGTTTCCTGTACGATGCTCTGATTGAGGAGCCTGACAGCGGCAGAGACAATCTGTTCCCACCCACTCTGAGATTTCCACACCTCTCCACCTCAGCTGCCAGGACGGATCCACAGACGCCTGTACACAGCCATCAGTGCTGCTGCCTCCTGTTTTCACACACATCAGGGTATCACTCCCAGGTCTGTGATGCTGAGGCGGCTTGATGGGGTCCTGTTGGTCAGCGGTGGGTTTGTGAACAGATCCCAGCTTATTTTGGTGGACAGATGCTGGGATGATTGGCAGCTGAGGGGATGCTCCTGTCCTCCCAGTGAAATTACTGGTCTGCCTCTGGTAACTGGAGTGTTTACAAAGAAAGTTTTGACGAATAAAAAAAACACCTTTTTTAAAAGGATGGAGAATCTATAACCTAATCAAGATGCTAAAACCGTATAAATATTGTAAAATATTTCCTAATTTTGACTTCATTTGACAGTTACCTCTTGTTTTCTAGCGGTCTTTGTTGCCCCCTGCTGGGCAGCTTTGTATACTGCAGTTTAAATTCAGACTTTTCTGCAGGGATTTAATCATTTCAAGTAGTGGAAAAAATTGCAGGGGGGCATATAAAAAAAAGTGTAATCAACCAAAATTTTTGCGACCCCCATGCAATAACTCAGCGGACCCCCTTTTGAAGACCTCCGCTCTAAAAGTTTATATTTCATACAAATGTGGTGTTTAGCAGGTCTTAGTCAAAAATGTGTTCAGCTTAATCCAACCAAAATATAAAAATGACAAAATAATGTTCAACTGAAACAAAGATGCCACAATATTTATTCAAATGAATCAATTTTTATAACTGGTGTCGAAATAGTTGATTTCACTGAGGGGGGCGGGGCTAATGGGTGCAGAAACCGTTTCAGTTTAGTGATCAAAACAAGCCAAAAGGTAGATAAACGTAAACAAGCACATTTTCCAAATAAATCACTGAGGTCAGACCAGATTTTCATGAGGCCCTTACTTAATATTGTTTTAATGGTTTAAGCACCTATTCTTTATCTTTAATTACAAAGAAGACTCCTAGATTACTACAGACACAAACTCTACCCAATAATCCATAAAAAAAATCATTTTTAAAAGAAACTGAATTCTTTCTACTTGATGAACTGATTAATCCAGGTGTGTCTGACCTCATTAACCAGGACCAGACATACCTGGATAATCAGTTCATCTAGTAATGAAAGACAGGAAACAAAGAGCTGCCTTAAGTTCAGGAGGTAGTGGAGTTGTGCTTAGAGCCCATTAGATACCAGCCACAGCCCAGTACCTGGACATGTTTGCTGGCTAAGCTCCATCAATCATCTACAAGCTTAAACCAACATTTGTCCTCCTAAAACAGGGTGTAGTTTGTTCCATTTGTTCCAGTCGTATGATTATTGGTCGAGTGTTTTATCATTTTGAACCCTTGAACAGCAGAATATCTGGATCTAGAAGGTCTTCAAGAATGACAGGAAAAGGAAAAATCTAAACTACACCAAAAATGACCTGATGGATGTATCCTGCAGAATTTATCCTGTGTAATTAATCCCTAATAAACTCCCTCATTAATGTGGGCTCAACACAGCGCATAGGATCTCCCAGTTTTCTGATAATCTGAGCAGAAGTAGAAAGTAATCCTGTCTTGCAGGGATTAGTGTCTTCGTTGAGTCTGGAGCAGCTTTCATGTGCTTCAGTAACGGCATCCTACCTTGATTCTGCTGATCTGCTATGATCTGCCTCATCTGGACACATCTGCTGCTCAAATTGTTATTACACCAGTGGTGTTGATACAAGTAATAAATTAATATTTTCCCCCAAATTACCCCATTATGGGACAATAAAGGGATTTTCTATTCTTTCTAATGTAATATCAGAATTTTCCACCATGTTGAAGGTAACTAAAGCAGCTGTCAGGGTCCATTAAGGTGCATCACTGTAGTTTAGGTCAAGGCAGATGCACAGTGAAACTGACCCCCCCTCCAGACACCTTATACCCATGAGGGGAAACTCTACAGTAGGCCTGTTGTCTGAATGGATGAAACACAGAGCATCAGTTTCATCCATTACATGAACTGACTCAGCTGCCAACAATGAAACCATGGCCAACCTAGTTCTAAATCAGCTGTCGCCTCCTGCTGGTTAGTAAAAAAACTGCAATTATAAAATGTATTGGTTTCTATATTTGTTTTTAACATATTAAATAGTTAGGTATCCATCAGTTTTTCTCCCCATGGGTACATATGATCAAATGCCAGAGGTCTAACCTGAGCTCCAACACAAAAAATCAACCCCCAGATAGAGACACTACCTCTGTAGGGTGGTCCAGCTTCATGGTGTCCTAGTTTCTGGGAAAATCAACCATTTTGGGTTGAGTTGGCGGGGAATGGCGACATAGTCGTTAGGGCATTGCTCTTGGAATCCAGAGGTTCTGAGTTCAAGCCTCACTCCCACAGACTGCCACTGTGGGTCCCTGAGCAAGACCCTTAACCCCACACATGACTACACTGGAAAAACAGCAGCACAGCTGATATTTCTCACCAGGATGGCATCACAGCCAATCAGGAACAGACGAGGCGAAGCTACTATGAGAAAAAGCAGAAAGAGCATAAAGTTAGATATTGAACTTACAGATTCTGCAGAGTGGGAGAATAGAGATAGAATGAAGCAGAATGATGAAAAAATAGGGGTCCCTATGTCCTCCAGCAGTCTAAGCCTATAGCAGCATAACTATAGAGATAGATCAGGATAACCGGAGCAATGGCAGCCCACTCCTCCCCAAGCGGATGGGTTAAATTTATATATTTAATTTCGTTGCTCTGTACTTGTGACAGTGTAATGACAATAGAACGGTGGAAGTTTGATGCACTTGGATATTGTTTGATAGATTGAAAAGAAGTGGCATTTGCCAAAGGGTCCAAACAGCAATACCCAATTGTTTATTCACTGGGTGGTGTCCTGGAAGGGAAGCTATCAGTGTTTCTTTGTTACAGAAAGGGTTGGTTTTAGGATTTTGTGCTAGACGTGGGCTGTTCACAAATATGTCTTCAGTCCGAGCTTAATCCATCAGTATACTTGGCATTAGGTCAGCTTGGACCAATGATATCACCCCTGTGGTATAGTGTGACGGAGATTTAGTTGAAAAGGTGAAGAAGTGTCCCAACAGGCCAACTGTTAGATCTTCATCTTAGATGCCCCATGGGTTTTCTTCTGTCCTGTGGGAGGTTTGTGTTCATCTGAATGGGCTGTGTATAGAGCCCTAGCTACATAGGTTCAACACAGGTGTAATGAAACCAACAATAAAGTACCTAGGTACACCTTTGCCTGTCTGATGTTGAAGTCCTCCTTCCACCATCTTTGTCCATTTATTTAGGTGGAATGAGTTGAAATGTCAACTCCAACACGGTTTTCTTTGGTTCAATCCTTAGAGCCGGTCTTAACTGAGCGCCATTTCTCCACACGTTCCGGCCCATTAAGCATCCAGGGCTCTCATGGCAGCGGCAGAGAGCAGCACCAGGTTGCCTCATTAAGTACGCATCCCTTTCTGTTTAAAGGTGTCAGTAGATATGGGCTAGATAGACTCTAACTTACCAGCATTTAATCAAAAAGGCTTATTCCTAGACATTTGATTTTCTTCTCCATCCCTGGCTGTTTTCGGCTTATTGCACCGGCACTCTGACCTCTTTTACTGCTTCTAATGTTGCAGGATTAAGAAACTGCAGCTGAAATCTGTCCGTTTCATCTAAGCCAGAAGTGTCAGGAGAAGGGCCAGAGGGTAGCTTTCCATTTAATCGAATCAGCTGAGAGTCGCTACGTAATGATATCATTCTGCAACAGATGTGATGGGATGTAATTTACTCTGTGGGAAAGCCTTTCAGTTTATCTGAGTTTATCTTCACCATTCTGCTCTGTTGCTAAGGATCCTTCTGGTTTTAGTCAAATACTTAAAGGCATCAACTCTACTTCCTTTGTTCACCTGTTGAACAACCTCCAGTCCATCTGATGAGCTGATGATTGTACAGAGACTGCATTATTCATGGGAACTATAGAAGAGGCGGCTCATGTATTGTTACTCTAGACACCAGTTCAGCCTTTAATGTTTTTTAGTCGTTTAGTTTTCAGAAACCCAGACTTGGTTGTGATGTTTTTACATTTCTACCTCACTTCAATGTGGGGATGTTCCCAGTGGTGCACCTCAAGGAGGAGTTGTTGGCATTCCTGAAATTACAGTTTGACTTTGAACCGTTAAATTCAGCAGGAAGGTACTTAAAATAATTTCTGTTTTTTGATAGTTGTGTCTAAATACCAATTAGACTTAGAGAAGCCAATCTATAGTTTGTATGTCTGAAATAAAACTTAAAATTGTGCACAAATTCAAAGCAATAATAAAAAAACTTTAACAGTTTTCTGAACCACATGGAAGCAACTTTAACCAGGAATGCTCTTTATATTAACATGCACTTTTATTATTTACTAAGGCTTTCTAAAAGCATTTTAAACACTCATTTTAGTCACTTTTTCTCCATATAATAATAAAAAAAATAAATAATTGAAAAATCATTGAAAGTTTGAGACCCTTTTCTTTTAGATCACAACTTCTCTACTGTTGACCTTTCTAGAACTAAGCGTAAATAATCTTAAAAAAGAAATAAAGCAGGATATAAACACACCCGCGCCTGGAATCAATCAAATCAGCTCCGAGCTTTTAATTCTCAGCTCCAGTGTCCCACTTTGCCCTCAATCTCTTAAAGCTCCCCCCTCTCCTAACCCCCTCCCACATCATGCCTGGAGCTCAGGCTGCCCTGCTGGTAAATAATTGACAAGCTCTCCCTCCTCTTTTCCGTTCCTCTGCCATTGTTGCATCTCTCGTCGGGTCCTACGGGCCGTGACAAGTCGCCCTCCCCGCTCCTATCATGTCCAGTCTCCACCTGCTGCAGCACGGATAGTGATGACTGTTTGCAGGCAGACTGATGCACTGGGAGCAGCTGCTGGTAAGACCTCATTATTGTATTATTGTTATGAGGAATAAAACTTGGAGAGCAATGCTGTTTAGTATTTGGGTGTTAACTATATTAGATTTGTAAGAATTACATCTAAATTAAATGTCTTTTTTTCACTTTCCAGAAATCTTTCACCTATAAAAGTAATATTTTCTAATCACTGATGTCCTCTTTTTCTGTTCTTTCCTACTGATTCATTACTGTTTAACTCATAACTAAGTGAAAATGACGGAGTGAAGCTGGGAGGATCGCACTAATGGAGATTATTCAAGCTGATCTTCCTTCTCTTAATAACTGACTCGTTTACAGCAGAAAAAGGAAACCAGATTCTTGCAGAATCATCTTTATTGGCTAAGTCTGTTGCATCAACAGCGTATCTGACTTCACTGAATTCACAAAGTTTTCCTGTTGGTGAAGTAAAATATTCAACATTTAAACATCATCTGGTATAAAACAATAAGTAATGATTAATCATTCAGATATCCTCATACTGCAGCTGAAAACTAAATTGGTTCCGGTGAATTATTTTCCACCAGCAGTTGGATTAAGATCCAGACAGTTTGCTGGCTTGTTCTCCGAGTTTATCTGCTTTTCATGCAGACATGTTTAAAAGTTCTTTAATTAAGTTTACAAATAGATGATCTTCAATAGAAATCAGGTTATCGTCTGCAAACCTGCATACTTTCAAACTATACATTAACATTTAGGGTTCAGAAAAGTCCTGTATTTAGATGAAAAGTTGAATGGGGCTTTAAACGCTCCTTCCATCACCGATGGAGTAAAACTGGTTTGTTTTTATCAGGTGATTATGGCTCCAAACAAACATTCCACTTTAATCTCTTTGAACAATGCAGATTAAGCCAAGTTTTATCCAGTCCTGCTTGCCTTAAACCCAGTGGAACAATGATTTTTAGATGTTTGCAAGTTATAGATGATTATTGTTAAGGCTCTTTTTCTTTAGCTAACTCCTTTACAAATCGTTCAAAAACACTGAGTCCTGATTTCACTTTTTTGTGCAGTTTCTGTTTTCCAGTTGATTCGGCTTTGAGTTTTCCTAAATGGCGCTTTGATACCTGCTTTGGTTACCCCCTGGATATTTTTCTTTTATAATCTGATCATTTTGGTTGGAATAGCTTGAAATCAACACTAATTTTCCACACGTCATTCTAAAGGTCGTGTATAACCTGTTAGTCTACTACTGCAGCTGAGTTTGAGGAGTAAAAATAGATAAAAGAACTCAGTCAGGGTGCCACACAAACCTTGATTCACTTTAATTCAATTTATTTCTATAGCGCCAATTCAAAACACATCATCTCAAGGCACTTTACAGTTCACCAGATCATCCAGTCAGATTGATTCAAAGTTTTCTATCTAAGGAAAACCAGTTGATTGCATCGTCTCTGACTCGAATGCAATCCCTCACACTAAGCATGCTTTTAGCGACAGTGGAGAGGAAAAACTCACTTTTAACAGAAAGAACCCTCCAGCAGAACCAGGCTCAGTGTGAGCGGCCATCTGCTGAGGCCGATTTGCAGCCCCGTCCAAGAAACACACCAGGTATCTCTCAGATACCTGGTACAGCCAGGTATTGGGTATTGGTATCAGGGCCAAAAAATGGCGTCGGGGCAACACTAATCTGAACCATAAAAGTCCAATCATCCCCCATTAAGTCAGAACGTATGTGATGCTTTCCGCCTCAAACTGCCACAATAAGGCTACTGTCCACTAGGGGTGGAACGGTTCACAAAATCCGGTTTCGTGGTCACGGTTTTCGGTTCGGTTCGGTATATGTTGATTGTTAGCCTGACATGTTGGTCATGTTGCTGTTAGCATTAACAATACGTGTTGCACAATGCTTGCACACTGTTGGACTTTTATCCCCAACTTTCTTCCCGCCGTCATCGTAGGTCACTCTAAAAGCAAAGCGGTCCCATACAGCAGACCTATAAAGTGCTGCTGGCGCGTCTTCCAACTCCTGTTCTTTCCCACTCGCCATACCCACACAATTCTCCACAACAACTGATTTTTTTCTGCTACACCCGGCTACGCTGCTTCACTTCTTCTTCTTCTTCTTGTTTACTACTGGTGGTTGGCTTTGGTCGCTGTACCGCCACCTCCAGCGTTTACACCTGGAGTGTAAATGCTTCGCCTATGAGAAAAAGGAGCAGCGCATGAACCGAACACAACACACGCGAACCGAACCGAGACAGTCGAACCGAACGGTTCGGACGGTTTTCATAAACCGTTCCATCTCTACTGTCCACCGTTTAATGGTTTTATTAGTTTTTTTTTCAGGTGTTTTTGATGATTTTATATTGGTCAGTTAACAGTTGAATTGAATATAAAATTGATTTAGGTTTCTGGTCTCCGCCCTAATCTTGAGTTTCTGTTTTCAGAGATCTGGTTGGAGTCATGAGGGAGTTCATGTTGGTTCTCCTGCTGGTCATCGAGTCGTCCTGCAGGTCTTCCAGCAAGGCGTGCGAGCCAGGCTGCGATTGCCGTGGAGACCTGAAGTTCACCATCTGCTCGCGGGCTCACCTCACCCGGCTTCCCGTCCGAGCCCCCCCCTCCACTGAACTCCTCGACCTGTCAGACAACCTTATCTCCGTCGTCCCCAAACACGTCTTCCACAGCAACCGTAAGCTGAGGGTGCTGCTGCTGCAGAACAACAACATCAGCACGGTGGAAGACGCTGGCTTCTCTCAGATGGATTTCCTGCAGAAGCTGGACCTGAGCTGGAACCGGATCTCCGCCCTCACTGAGGGATTCTCAGTCGGTTTGGCCTTCCTCCGGGAGCTGCAGCTGTCCCACAACCAGCTGACCAGCCTGGACAGCCGCTGTTTCCTGCACCTGGACGGCCTGCAGAGGTTAAACCTGTCTAACAACAGCATCCAGACTATCCAGGTGAGGTCGTTTGCCTCCATGAGCAGCCTGCGGCAGCTCCACCTGCAGGACAACCAGCTGAGATCTTTAACGAGCGGGACCTTCTCTATGCTGCGCTCCCTGGAGGTCCTCAACCTCGCCGGGAACCAGATCCACCAGATGGAGTCCGCCGTGTTCAACCCTCTCACCAGCGTGACCTTACTGAACTTAGCAGACAACCAGTTTTCCACAGTCTGCTTCAAAACGTTCCTGAGCATCCACACCTACAGCACCCACATCCTGCTGCAGGGCAATCCGTGGAACTGCGACTGCGAGCTGCAGAGAGTTTTCCGGAAGCTGCGCAGCATCCAGAAGCTCTTCTTGGACGACTACTACAACCTGACGTGTTGGGCGCCGCCAGTCCTTCACAACCATCGGCTGATGGAGGTGGACAGCGAGCTGTGCATCGCGGAGACGGTCACCGTGCTCATCATCACCATCACCGTGGTGATAACCGTGCTGGCCGCCATGCTTATGGGCGAGAGGAAGAAGAAGAAGAGGAGAAAGGCGCTGCACTGGACACAGCAGAGGGAATTCTCGGAAGATTCGGATTTCTGAAGCATGGGGTTTATTGTGATGCCCTGTAATCAACCTGGAGCCTTGCTGACTGTTAAGGCTGTTTTTTTTCTGTTTTTTGCAAGAAAATATACATTTTTACATGAAGTGACTTTTAACAGTATTCATGCACCTTGAACTCTTTTGAATTTGATCACCAGCCACAAACAGCTGTGTATTTTGTGACGGACCAGCCTAAAGGTCAAAGGTTGTGTGCTTTTTAAATTTTATAGACCCTGCATTGCCAGCCTGAAGCATTTTTAGAGTTCATCTCTATTCTCACATTTAGGCGGAAATTGTTTTCAATTCTTCTCTTAAAAAAGCTCAGCTTCCTCGGGTTGCATTTAGAGCATCTCTGAAAAATGGTTTTCAATTCTTGCCAAAGTTTCTCTATAGGATGTAAGCCTGTACTTTAACTAGGCCCTTCTGTCACATTAACCAGTGTTAGCTTCATGCTAATGATCATGTTCCTGCTTCTAAACTTTCTAGCAAGTTTTCTTTCAGGGTTGACCCTGATTTCACTCCATCCACCTTCCAGTCAGTTCTGATCAGCTTCTCTGCCCATGCAGAGTAGCATCCTAACAGCATGATACTGCCAACACCATGTTTTGGAGTCAAATGTTTTTGTTTTTTAACATTATGGTTTTAGAACCTCACACCGCTCAAAGGTCTCTGCTATTCTCCCTGACCTGTCTGCTGAGTTGCTTGATTTTCTTTGTGCTGTTCTTTGTTCTCTATCTAACCTCAGACTAGAAACAAAACAGCTGCCGACCTACTGAGACTGAAATGTATGGAATAGGATAAAAGGGTTAACTCATTTTTAAATATTATTTCAGTTTAATATGGGGGGAAGTGTAAGAATTCTGACTTTAATCTCAGAATTCTGATTTTTTTTCCTTAAAATTCTGATGTTAATCCCAGAATTCTGACTTTCTTTGCAGAATTTGGACTTTAATCTCAGAATTCTGATTTTTTCTTAGAATTCTGACTTTAATCACAGGATTCAGATTTTTTTCTTAGAATTCTGACTTTAATCACAGGATTCAGATTTTTTTCTTACAACTCTGATTATCAGAATCAGAAATACTTTAATAATCCCAGAGGGAAATTACTTTTGTTACACGCTCCAGTTACAGTTTTTCATGACTTATACACACATCCAACTCTACAATATAATAAAGATTAAAAAATAAGAATAAAAAGAGATAAAATATATATACACATATAGCTCTTCTGTATATATATCTGTACGTATATCTATGCATATGTAAAAACTAAATCCAAATAAAGTGAAAGTGAAAAAAAGTAAAAGTTTAATGTCAGAATTCTGATTTCAATCACAGAATTCTAATTTTTTTTCTTAGAATTCTGACATTCATCTAAAAATTCTGACCTTTTCCAGAATTCTGACTATAATCTTAGAATTGTGGATCTAAATGTAGATGGTCACCCTGAAGGAAGAGATGTGGAGAACTCAGCTTCACTGACAAAGATGTGAGTTGTTTGGCAGTGACACATTGGTGGAAAATTACAGAATAAGGCGACTTTTTACATGCGAGGGGTCCCTGGTGATGCTATTTCATTAATGGAGGAGCAGAAAGTGATTAAAACAAGAGAGCGAGTCTCTAAAACAGACAAGGCTATGGCTTGATGCTAACATGTTTGTTAGCTGTCAGAATTCAGTCAGAATTCTGAGATTAAAGTCAAAAGTCAGACTTTTTTTCTCAAATCATTCTGAAATAAAATTTAAAAATCAGTTAACTTTTTTAATTTTTTCATTGTCTCTAATCCTCTTCCATAGAATTGTACATAATTATACTGTTTATTAATTAGTTGATGTTTGAAGACGACCGTAACAAAGAGAAATTCATATGTACATCTCATCTCAGATTTCCAGTATTCCAACATTTCTTTGTACTACATCGGTTTGTGGTTTTGTCATGAATAAATCTGGATAACCTAAAGCTGTATGTCAGTTTTTATTTATTTATTTATTTAGGAACTGTGGTTCTGAAAACCCTTTATCTCAGTTCTGTCTCCCCCTGCAGGTGGAAACGATAAACTGCAAGAGAAATCCTCTAGTGTCATGAGGTCATCAGACGAACCAGGGCGTGGTGTTCGTTTGTTTTTGGTAGTTTTATTGCGCCCTCCAGGAACATTTTCTTTTTCACGGAATCTGAAGCGATCAGTGGCTTTTTTTCTTCCCACATTTAAAATCACAATCATTCACAGCCGCTCTGCGTTTCCTGTAGGATTTAAATACAAGATAGTAAAATATATGCAGAAGGTTATCAGAAATTAGTCTTTGTTAAACACTTTTTCGACTAAATCAGATTTTGTTAAACTTACTCACAGAAATATGAAGTTATATTTGTAAAATTTGTAAATTTTGATCAACGGTTGTTCTTAAAATAATTAGAAAGGAAACTGAAGATTTATTTAATTGTACTTTTTTTTTAATAAACTGCACAGCTGATACAGGGCTGTTTACTTATATATGTCCCCGAATATATATATTAAAAAATAAATAGAATAAAATCTGTTTTGACAAATGTTTCTGCTATGTTGTCGTTTGTGTTAATTTTAAGTGAAATATTAAAATTTCTCTTCCATGAAGCGCAGGAGACTTTACAAGCTCAGATATTAGCGCGGTCTTTCCTTAAATTTAGTTACAGAAACGCTTTTAGACTTAAATACAGACGTTAATGGAAGTTTCCCTTTAATTGAGGTAGTCCAGCCGTTTTTAGGCGTGTCTGGCAGACATTTTAAAGTGACATAATTTACATAAAACAAACCGGATGTGAACGAATTCAAAAGGTGTCGCAGTATTTATTTGGTCTGTATTCCCTAGTGTTCAGTCGAATGTTAAATAGTGTTATATTTTAAAATATAAAAAATATATAATTAACACAGTATATAGTTTTTAATGTTGGTTATTCCCGGTTAAAATTGTCGGTAAGTTTTATTTTGAAGGGACAAACCGGAAACACTAATATGCTACACGTTAGCTTGTTAGCTTGTCGTCTGTTTCGGGACAGGTGGAATCTCCGGTCTGACGAGCCGCTGTTGTTCTCACAACAAAAGGGAACCGAACCGGAGAAACACTTTAATTCCGCAGCGGAACACAAACAGGGACACAGAACCGAGGATTCAAACTATTTCCGCCGTCATCAGTTGATAATTTAACAGGTTTCTGGATGTAAATATGTCACAGATAGAAAAGAGAAATTCAAGGAAAAACTGCGCAGTCACAGTTTAATGGGAGCGGTGACCTGAGCAGGTGAGGAAATACTGCTTCTCTTCTATATTTGCTCGCTCGCGTTTCTTTTTATTTTAAATGATTAAAACCTTTATTGTAGCATGACTGAGTCATAAAGAGTCACTTCCTGTTTGTTGAGGCGTTTTATAAATGAATAAACTACTTCCCGAAGCTGCGTCCTGGAAATATGCAGCTTTTATATCTAAAGGTTGTTTAACACGTCAGATACTTCCGCCTGTGAACATCAGGCAATGGTTCTCAATATGTGGCGTGAGGGCCCTCAAAGGGCCCAGACTGACAGTTTTATCTGATAAAAATGTCAACTGACAGATTTTCAAAGACCCAGTTTTGTATCTGAACCTAAAAACTAAATCAGAAAACTGACAGATTATCATCCACTGATTGACAAGAACCGCGTTTGATGAGGTGGAAATGAGGCTGTTAAATAATCCAGAACAATACCCTGACTGTGGAGCACGGAGGTGGTAGCATCATGCTGTGGGCCAGCTTGGTAGGGCTTTTATAGATCGTTTGCTCCTGGCGAGCTGATTTAATTTTTCTGATGTATATCTGACCCGCCATTTATCGTATAGCGATGGAAGGCCTGGTTTCCTCCTACCGACCAAACTAAATCACATTCTATAAATTAAATGTTTGCAAACCATTCCAGTGACGCGTCGATTCTACTTTCTTCTAAAAAAAAAACTATTTTTGTTTTTGGTAATCATCTAATTGGAGTCAGCCCTTAGGTTTAAGCATGAAGGTGGAGTTCAGGAGAAGTTAAATAAACATGGATGTCGTCTTCCTAATCCAGGAGACGACTATCCCCACAGGACAATGCTGCCACTGCCGTGCTTTACAACCAGGCTTAAGGGCAGATTAGACTTCTGCAACCGCACACATCAAATGCCACTTGGGTCTGGTTGGGAACCAGTTTTTTCTGCTATGCTTTCTGAACCACCAGTGTGGAGTTTGTAGGGACGCCCAGCAGTTTCCCGCCAAAGCACAAGGGGGAGCCTATTCGAGAACTTGCAGGAACTTCGACGGATGGTTGCGAGAACTGAGGCGGCACCGGCAGGAGTCTTTATCTCCCAAAACCACAACGGCGTGTCTGCAAGATATCACAGAGATAGATCTAGAGTTGCTAGACATCAAAGATTTGGCAAAAAGACCGATTAATCTTTCATTGTAGTTGTTCCTCAGTTTTTAAAAATGGCGCTCGAAGGCACCGAATCGAGTAGGGCGACGACAGACCGCTGGAAAGCCATACCAAGGACTGGTTTTTGACTGTCCGACGCGTAGTCAGGATTTTTTTGAGGTGCGCTATGACGGTTTCAGAACCTCTGCATTAGGGGGCATTGCCGGTTGCAGAAGCTATAAATTGGCCTTTAGGTTTGAAACTTTTTTTATTCTCTTACTGCTCCAACGCAGCTCTGCTCAGGTCAGATCCTCTTTAAACCCATGATGAGGGAATGTAAAGTCTGTCCAGGCTCCGTTTGTTTAGTTCCTCCCTCAGAGTGAACATGTTCCCTGGTTCCTGATGTTCCTGAAGAGGCGGATCTATTTATAATTCTGTGTGTCTTTGTGTTCAGGTCAGTGTTGATGAATGATTCATCAGTGAGGGACGGATGGAGGACCACAGCTTTTAGTTTATGCTCGCTGTCTGAGCTCTGCATCATTTGCTTGTTCAAACCTCTCATTTTCTTATCCTGCAGATATGCCAGCCGACGACAAGGTTGCCATCCTGACGGACGATGAGGAGGACCAGAAGAGGAAGTATGTGCTGGCGGAGCCGTTTAACACCCTGTCCATGGTGCAGCCGGCGGGCGCGTCCGCCACGGCGCCGCCCGAGCAGCTGCCCCCGCCGCAGCCGGACCCCGTGGACTGCTGCGAGAGGATGTGCCTTCGCGTTAACAGCCGCCTCCTCATTTCCAAAGTCTTCTATTTCTTCTTCTACGCGGCGTACGGCTCGCTGCACCCCCTGCTGGCGGTCTACTACAAGCAGCTGGGCATGAAGGCCGACCGCAGCGGGCTGCTTGTCGGCATCCGGTACTTTATAGAGTTCTGCAGCGCCCCCTTCTGGGGGGTGGTGGCGGACCGCTTTAGGAAGGGGAAGGCTGTGCTGCTGTTCTCCGTCATGTGTTGGTTGGTGTTTAACTGCGGCATCGGCTTCGTCCAGCCCGCCAAGATGACCTGCGTCAACCCGTCCTCGTCGGTTTCCCCGCCGACCACCTACCCTCCTGGGAACTCCACCTCTCCGAGCAACTCCACCACGTCGGCTCCCACGTTGCTCCCCAACGCCACGGCGCTGTGGACCAACTCCACCCCCCAGACCCCCACCGTCTCCCCATCGGCCCCCGCCACCACGGGGAGCCAGATAGTGAGCGACCCGGATCAGGTGGAGAACATCTTCCTCATCATCCTGCTGGTGGTCATCGTGGGCGAGTTCTTCAGCGCGCCCGCCGTCACCATCGTGGACACCGTCACCCTGCAGTACCTGGGGAAGGCGCGCGATCGGTACGGCCTGCAGAGGATGTGGGGGTCTCTGGGCTGGGGCCTGGCCATGCTGACGGTGGGCATCTGGATCGACCACACCCACATCACTCTGCTGATCGTCGGCGAGGGCTGCCAGATCCCGGAATACCGCCTCCACAACTACCAGCTGGCCTTCATCGTCTTCGGCGTGCTGATGGGCATCGCCTTCATCGTGGCGACCCAGTTCTACTTCGAGAAGGGGGAGGAGCACCGACAGGAGCCGCCGGAGGCGGCGGAGGACTCGGCTAGCCGTCAGGAAGCAGCAGAGTCCAGCTCCTCAGACCAGACCCCCTCAGAGCCCCCCCAGGAGTTCCACTACGGCGACCTGCTGAGGCTGCTGTGCACGGTGCGCTACAGCTCCGTCCTCTTCGTGGCGTGGTTCATGGGCTTCGGCTACGGCTTCGTCTTCAGCTTCCTGTACTGGCACCTGGAGGACCTGAAGGGGACCACCACGCTGTTCGGGGTCTGCTCCGTCCTGAGCCACGTCTCAGAGCTGGCAGCTTACTTCACCAGCCACAAGTTCATCGAGCTGGTCGGTCACGTCAGGTAAGAAACGTCCGGTCGCGTCGGCCATCTTTGAAGAACACCCTGTGTCCCTTTGGTCTGTTTTATTCTACAGACTCTGGCGCCTCTTTGTTTGTAAGATCCAACAGTTTTAGTCGAGAAATTATTTTGTTGATTCATCTTCTTACTGATCTCTAAGGCGACGTTCACACCGCAGCCTGAAGTGACCTAAATCAGATTTTTTTGGCTCCTAAGCGACCTGGATCTGATCTCTTAATGGCTGTCTGAACAACACTGATCTGATTTTTTCCAATGCGACCTGTTTCTGAACGGCCAGGTCGCATTTATCTGACCTGAACGCCATTAATACCCGACAAAGGTCACCTTTCTGGGTCTTGCTATGAAGAAGTGGCAAGAAAAACAACAACCATGGCAGACGATGTTGCGGAGAGCAGTATTTATGTTTAACCATCTTGAAAAGATTGAGTTTATTAGTTTAGGAACGATCGCTAGATGCTCTCTGACTCTACCATCCATGTTTACTTCCGTAAACACAGAACACGCTGGCCTGTGATGTCATCTCGTCCTCTACTGCGCATGCGGGACACTTGGCATCAAGGCCTGCAGTGTGACTGTAGCTTAAGTTCCTGACCGGTTGTCTAAAGCGCCGGTTTCTTGAGTAAACACCTGCAGTCAGCAGAGGTTTACTCTGGGTCTAATGGAGCCGCCAGCGGCTTCGTCTGCACCGACGCTTCAAAGCAAACATGCCAGAGGAACCGGCCCAGAAACATGATTTCATGCACAGAAGAGCAGCGATTAAAGGAGGTTTGGACAGACTAGAGATTTATTCCAGACCTGAGATCTGCAGAGACCGACACGGTTCCTGAGGAGCTGCAGACTTCTGTCTCAGATCTACTAGGATCTACAAACACTGACTGTCCTGTTGGTGCAGAATGCACTGCAAAAAAGGCAGATCTAAACAAGTATTTTTTCTTAAAATAAGTGCATTTTTTCTTGAATTGAAGACTTAAGTGAGACACTTTGCCAATGGAACTAGACAATTTACATTTGAAATAAGAACATTTGTATTGTCTTATTTCAAGTGCATATTATCTAATTATGTTATTTTAAGATTAAAAAACCTAATTCCATTGGCAAATCATCTCATTTACCTACTCAAATTAAGAGGAGATACACTCAATTTATTTATTTTTCTACTTATTTCTAGATAGTTTTTGCAGTTTGTCTATGTGAGCGCCATAAACCAGAAGTTAATATTCTTGTTAGACTCTCACTGTTTGGCTCCAGCTGCAGAAAAAAAGGCCAAATTTGAGCTCTTTTTTTTTTATCCTCTCCTCTGTTAATTTGTGCATTTTGACTTTTTGTTGCTACTCAGGTTAGCATCGATCAATGGGTTGATTTTATTCTGAAATTAACGATGTAGAAATAAGTAAAAATTCCTTAAATTAAGTGTATTTACCCTTAATTTGAGTCGGTAAATGAGATAGTTTGCAATGGAATGAGTATTTTTACTCTTAAAATAAGATAATTAGATAAAATGCACTTGAAATAAGACAATTAAATGGTGTTTGTTTTATTTTAAAGGTAAATTGTCCTGTTCCAAGATATGGCAAAATGTCTCTTTTACCTCCTCGATCCAAGAAGAAATGCACTTATTTGAACAAAAAATGACTTCTCTAGATGTTTTTTTCCATTGTGGAAATAAACCTTCGTCTTGCAGAAATAACACGCTGAGTTACTCAGCCTCCATTTTTATCTTAAAGTGTTTTTCAGACCTGTCAAATTTACAAAACAATTATTTCTGTAGTAAAAACACTTTCTTTTCTGCACCGCTTTAGATATTCCATTTTAAAAATAGTTTGAATAGAAAAGGTTGTAGCTACGACTTTTAATTTGAAATTCTGTCAGATCTTTGTTTGTTTTTTTAATCAGCTTTATTCCTGCACAGAGCTTCTGTCTGTGTGTGAGAGGAACTCTGTGCAGCAGAGCATGAAAGATTAGAAAACTGATCCTGAAGCAAAATAATCAGCATGAAGCATCAGGATATTTTAGATATAAACGGGATAAAATCTGCAGCTGATGTGTGAAACAATAAACATGCAGCTGATGGAAGAGCAGGTCTGTCAGGGTGAACTTCATGTAGATCTTTATTTATTGGTCGGGGATAAAATGCATAAAGAGACGCACCGGTTGGTTCACTAAAAGGCATCTAGAAGAACTGGTTCAGCGTTAATTAACAGGTCTGCGTCAGAACGTTGAACGGTTGGGTTTGAAAATCCCTGAAATGTGGGGCGACCTCCTCTGCCGCTGAGCAGAGAGACGGGCGAGACAAAGCCGGCATTGATGCCGCGGCTCGCCGTCATCTGAGAGCGACGTGTCAGGTTTCAGGCGGCAGCTCCTCTAGGAGACGTCGCCGCTGAGGATGTAACCGGATCAAAGGCGGACTCCCTGCTGAGCGACGCTGAAGAGCCTCCGGTTAATCAGTGACTGAATGGAAACGACAACAAATGAATGTGGGTTGAGCTCAGCAGCAGCAACCTGGAAACGTTTTCATCAACTTTCCCATTTCCTCTATTGAAACTAGTCCTTCATTAAAAGCTACTATTCATCTTTTCTCTTTAAGATGATCAGAGAAATTCATTTAAGAAAGACTTAATATTACAGAGATCAGGAATGAAAAGCAGGTTTAATTTCTGCTTAAATGTTGATCGTTTTATATTTAAACCTCATCAGAACCAGATTCTGAGTGAAGAACCTGACCGGTCCGTTTATCTATTATTTATTTATCAATCGGATTGTTTGGATTTTTCCAATCGAATCGAGTCTCATAATAATTCCTAAAGATTTATAAATAAAAAATAAATTTCCCACTGTCCTTAAAGCTGCCATTGACTATCATCACTTTATCAATACTATAATATTCTAGATAAGTATTTTTTTTTCTTTAAAAAGTGCATTTCTTCTTGGATTCAGGAAAGGAGACGTTTTGCCACATTTTGGAACAAGACAATTTACATTTAAAATAAGAAAACACAATTGCTTTGTCTTATTTAAAGTGCATTTTATCTAATTATCTTATTTTAAGAGGAAAAATATTCATTCCATTAGAAACTATTTCATTTATCTACTCAAATTAAGGGTAAATACACTTAATTTAAGAAACTTTGACTTATTTCTAGATCGTTTTTCCGGGGTACTCAGGCAGGGCTCGATGTTAACCATCACCCGATCTCCCGGGGCAAGTAGCTTTTATTGTCAGGAGAGTACAAATTTCATTGCATTTGCCTGCTGATCGCAAAAAAAATGTATTTATCACTCAAAATTACTTTATAATCACCGACATTCGCTTAAAAAAGGACCCACAAGTGTTGCCGGCGCCATTTTTGTTGTTTTGTACACATTCTCGTGTGATTTGAAAAAGCCGCGAGAAATTCCGCCAGATGGCGGGATTTTTGTCCGGAAATTGGCGCGAATCAGGCACTCCCACCTAGGCTTGTCCCGATCCGATCCACGTATCGGATCGGACGCCGATATTGGCAAAAAATGCGTATCGGCAAAGCATGTAAAATGCCGATCCAGTTTTTAAAAAATAAATCCTGTCCGTATTTTCCAGTTTCGCCGATTGAAACGATCCATTCCACTATTTTGCGCCGGTGTTTCCCTGTTTTGCATTTTTATTAAAACTTACAGTAATACTTGCACCTTTAACTGTTTACGGTTTTACTGTTCACTGTGCAATTTCAGATTGCTATTCATAATTTTGTCCAGTTTGTGTTTATCTCTTAATAAACAGGTAAGTTTGTTGTTACCAAGCATTGTGTTTTATTTAATCTCACCTAATTCAGCTGGCTAGATGTTATCAAGAGTACTAAAACCCTTTTCAACATGAGTCTTACAACTAAGGCTAAATAACTTAAACTTACATACATGTTCGGATAGGCTGGTATCGGCCAGTATCTGTATCGGATCGGAAGTCCAAAAACAATATCGGTATTGGATCGGAAGTCCAAAAACCTGGATCGGGACATCTCTACACGCACCACCCAGATAACCCTAGATTAAAAATGATCGGTCAGGGATTAGAAAAATTGGCTTAATGTACGCCATGCGCAGTGTAAAATAAAAGTTATTCATTTGCGACATTAACTTCTGTCTTGTGATTTATCTTAAGTTTTTAACCTGTCAAGTTTTTTTTAGATTTTCAACATTACAATTTATATTTTTCAAAGCACACAACAGTTTAAAGTAAAGTTTAGTTTGAAAAGAATGAGCAGGAAGGATTGAAAAGCATGTTAACACGGTAATGTAGGCTTGAGTTCATTATCTGACGCATGCAGATACACACCAGGAACCTGGAAACTTTCTGAATTACAAAAAACATTTAAAAAAACTAACAACTAACATGTTTCATTGATATTTATACAAAAATGAATATTAGGAACTATATTTATCAAACATTATACTTGGCAAGTAAAAATAGTTTCTAGGCAAATGAAATGTGAAAGTAAAAATCCTTAAAGTCAACCCCTGTCAGGCATATTTTTCAGGTAGCGGCTTAAATGTTTTTCAGACCAGTTTATTTTAAATCTTGAAATTATTTTTTAATTATTGAAATAATCGTCAACTAATTTAGTAATCGATTCATCCTTAACTGGAGTTTAGAGGCTCTAAAACGGGCCTTTAGCTGACAGAGCGACCCAATTAGAGCAGTAATTATATCAAAATTGTAAAAAAAAAAAACTATAAACATTTTGCTTTTTAGATAAAAAAACACAGTTTTCTTCTGTCAATCTGCTCTATCAGCACTCAAGATGAAACGTTTTAGTTTCACCTGGTTTAATTCTGTTAAAAATGTTTAAGGAATCTTTGGCTCTCTGATTATTAATTAATTGAAAAAAAAAAGAATCAGATTTGGAAAATAATCGTTAGTTGGAGCCTAAATATTACGTTTTGTGTGAATCTGCTGCTAAAAATCATCCAGAGCTTCCAGCCTGTTTGTCGTATAAATGGATCAGGAAGTAGATTCTAGATTCTAGGTGTCGTCCTGTAGTGATGGGTTACTCTGGAGGAGCTGCAGAGATCCGCTGCTGTTTAGTGGACCAGTAAAGGTCTGGTTTTAGTGGAAAGGAAGCAGGAAGAGAGATGCTGAAAGAAGCAATAAGTCCTGCAGGAGAGGCGGGAAGTTGGAGGAGCTAGAGCAGAGCGGCCTAGTCAAAGTAAAACCTGAAATTCAACAGGAGAAAATAAAACTGATAAAATCCAAGTTTAAGGATCCATTTAGATCAAATCTGGAACGTTTTATGAGGTGTGAATCATTTTTCATCTACAAACCTCTAATTTAATTTAATAAGCTCATAAAACTGAATCAGTTCTGTTGGTATTTATTGCTTATCTTGTTTAATCATTAAACGTCTGGGTGTTTGTTCCCGTTTCTTTAACGATCATCAATCGGCGGCGCCTGCGTTGCTGAGGAGACGCTGTCAGGTCCTTTAGTTTTGCCGCTTGTTTTCGGTTCCAGCTCTGCCGTCGGTGAAACGAACCAGAGACGAAGGCGGAGCCGTTCAGGCTTTTTGAAAGTGCTGCTTCGAAACAGAAAACAGACCTCCGCTTCCTGCTAAACCTCGGCTGACCTCCAAAGCAAAGCGATGGCAGCTAGCAGCAGCTGTGAGAGAGGAGGATTTACTATTAGAAGAACAACCACAGAACAAACTGAAAGAGTCCTTTCTATAGGAAAGATTATATTTACTCCCAAATATCAAATATAATCTCCATTTTTACCTCAACGGGGCTAAAGGTTAAACTGAATCAGAATCATTTGAACTGGTTTGCAACCAATTCAGAGTCCAGTTAGAACAGAAAATAAGCAGAACTGGGATTATTTTTTTGCGATTTGTTTGGTAGAATCTTTAAATCTTTGTCTGTCTCCCTCAGGGTGCTTTACATCGGCCTGGCCTGCAACACGGCACGCTACCTGTACATCTCCTATCTGGAGAACGCCTGGATTGTTCTGCCCATGGAGGTTCTACAAGGTAAACGCCTCTGTTTGCACGGAGGGAGGGGCGCGGGCTCTAGGACCCAGAAGACCGGACACTGTTTGTCCAACAGGAGGCTTATCAGCAGCAGCCAAGCAGGATCTTCTCAGGAAGTGGAAACAGACCCGCCTCATGAGCTCAGCGGCTGTGGGAACATCTGTCCAACCGCTTTAGTTTTAAATGCATGCTCCGTTCAGACCTGAGGCGGTTTTGCTTTCTGAAAGTCATAGAAGGGAACCAAAAGCTGCCAGAGAAACCGACTCAGAGGAACAGAGACTGCTGAAGACAAGCAGCAGTGGAGAGCTTCAGCTGCAGCTGTGCAGAGAAACTATTGAACCGGAAGCTCAGGTTATTGTCAGAGAGGCGATGCGGCGTTCATGTGACGCCTTTGGCCCCTTCAGCAACTTTAAAGTTCCAACTGTAGACAGGAAGTCTACAGTTGGAAACGGCACAGAAACCTGAGGCATAAATCAGCTGGTTGCTGCAGACGTTTGTGTCCGTCTGACATGATAATCATGCAGGTTTTAGAGCAGTTTGATAACTTTATGCTGCAAATAAACTGAAAAGCATAAATGAAAGCGTCATGCTCTTTCTTCTTCTCTGTCCAGGCGTGACCCACGCCTCAGTCTGGGCCGCATGCATCTCCTTCCTGAGCGCCGCCGTCCCTTCGCCTCTGAGGACGTCGGCACAGGGGATCCTGCAGGGTCTGCACCTGGGACTGGGCCGCGGCTGCGGAGCCATGGTGGGGGGAGTGTTTGTCAAATATTTTGGTAAGAATCTGAGGGACCGATCCATGGAGACGCTGCTGTTCTTTCTAAATGATCACGTTTCACCTGTCGTTCCTCCTGCTTTTCAGGCGCTGCAGAGACGTTTCGAGGAATCGGCATGGCCTCTCTTGTAATCCTGCTCATCTTCTCCTTCATCCAGTGTCTGTCTGGAGAGAGTGAAGAAAAAGGTGAGAGAAAAGGGCTTATTTAAAAAGAAAATAACATTATGTAGGGCTTTAATTAAAGCTAAGGTTCAGGCAGAGTAACAATACCGCAGGGGTGGCTGATTTAGAAGGGTTGGTTCATTTTATTGAACCTCAAAACCCTCTGGACAGATGAAGCAGCACATCAACAAAAACACCTAAAACCAGGCATAAAACGCAAAGTTCTGCAGCAGTGAGCCGTTTGATACTGAAACTAACAATTATTGCTTTACGTTTGAACTTTTTTATGCTGCTTATAGACTCCTGTCTCAAATTTTAAGAAACCAAACCCATCAAGATGGACATCCCATGCAAAATATAGAGCATGGCGGTGGAGGGGTCATGGTTTGGGCAGTTTTTCAACCACTAATCCTCAGGGTATAAATCTCTTAATTGATGATTAAAAGGCAGAAATAAGGCATTTTTTCTGATTGGTAGTTTAATATCTGCTAAACTTCAAAGGTTATCATTCTGGATGTATTTTCTACAGTGGATGGGGGGTTCAAACGTGCAAGCATGTTCAAAAGGTCTTGCAAACATTAAAAAAAATCTACAAGCAAACACTAATGCATGCAAAGAAAAAAGGAGAAAAAGCTGCAAATGCAGGAAATAAGAGATAATAAGCGGCATCATCTAAAAAATATGAAAACCTGCTGCAAATATATCTAATCGATCCTAAAATAAAAGTGCACAAAGAGGAAAAATGATGCAAGTAACAAAAACTAATGGTGACTAACAACCGGAAGGGTTCCAGACCACTAGGGGGAGCCGGTCATCATTCATACGGAACCAAAGCATTTATAAAGGTACATTAAATATATAAAGACGATCCAAAATAAAACCTACCGACTGAATCCTAAACTGCTCACTAACCAAAACCCCTAACCAACTAACCTGGATTGTACCTGGGGGATTCAATAATGAAGTGGGTGGCCTCTTCCCTCCAACGGAGAGGCAAAGCAGTCGTTCCTATGGCAACACAGTGACGCCACATGTGTGTTGCTGTAGCCTGGTGACGCAGGGTGACATAACGGTTTGGTCCACTGTTTCTTTCGTCATCCAAATGTCCTCTGGACTGCATCTCATTTATGGGTTTTTGGTCCATAGACGTTAATTCATAGTAATGTTCATGTTCTGGTCCCTCATCTCCCCCTACTGGTCTGGATCTCCCCCATCATGGGCTACTAGTTTGCTTCTTTTCTTAATCTGCAGTTATTTAAGCAACTTGCAACATTTTTCCATTGCCTGTGTTTGTGTCAAAGTCTTATTTTTGTATCTTTTCTAGTTGATCTGTTGTGTTTGCTAGTTTGATTTTATAATCAAATTTTCAGGACCTTTTGAATTTGCTGTGAAATTGTGAATTCACAGCATTTGAACCTCTTGGCCACAATAGTATAGTAATAGATGTAGTTTCCTTTTCTTGTAGCCTGACCTATAAAGAACAAAGCATCCCGGACGAGCCCCCATTTATTTTTATACTCATTATAGAAAGCAAAAGCAGATAGAACCTAAAGAAATTGAAATTTAAAAGATTAGCTTTCGCTTGAGGAAGATGAAATCCAGCTGGCCGCCAAAGAGGATTTTAAACGCCCTATTTTGTTTTTTTTCAGAGGACAAAATCCTTGCCGAGAACATCCCAGTTCCCTCCAGCCCAGTCCCCATCGCTACCATCGACCTGGTTCAGAGCCAGCACACTCCCGGTAGCCCGGCGCCGCCTCGGCCGGCGGCGGAGACGGTGCTGCCCGTTAGGAAGACCAAACACCAAGAGGACCAGGAGGACGTGACGCGGCCAGCCTGGGTGCCCTCCGGCTCCCCCTGGGTCACCATCGCCTTCGCGTTCGTCCAGATCAGGGACATGATGAACATGAAGAAGAGCGGCGGCCCCCCTGCAGAGAATCGCCCACTGCAGGTGAACACCAACACAGTGTTCAGTACATCAGTCAGACACCAGAATGTATTCACAATAAAACTGAAGCCAGAGAACAAGAGAGAGCTGCCAGTTAAATGACACACAGAACCAGCATATTTAACTGGTTCCAGTCAGGGTGATGCTTTGTACATGTCTGTCCAAATAATGAACAATAAAGTCTTTGCTTGGGTTTTTTATTAAAGGCCTAAAACCTCACGCTTGCCACCTTTCAGATGCATGTCTGTCTTTTCTTTGCTGATCAGAAAATCATTTATTTTATGCTTTGAGTAGAAAAACAGTTTGGCTGATTTCCAGCAAACACAGGATGAAAATCTATGGATCTATGCAGCCGTTAGTTCATGTGATTCTTTAATCACAGCAGAAAGAAAAAACACCTAAATCCATCTGGGAGTCATTATAAGGCTTCATTGCTCTTTGTTTTAAATCTTCTCCCAGCCTAGCTTGACAGAAACAGAAGCTTAAAGTTAGTTTTCACATTTCTGGATCAAACTGCACCAACATGAGTCTTTATTCCACCTTTCATGCTGTTTGTGTGTTTCCTGTTTATTATTTAAGCTGTTTTTAACATTCAGGCTTTTACTTGTTTCCTCCTAAATGTTTATTATTTATAACTTCTAATGCTGCTACGAAAGCTTCTGATACCTTTTGGATTAACATGCAACCAAAGTACGGATAAAAATCTGATGTATTCAGCCTCCTTTGATGGGATCTATCATCCAAAGTGATGAACAGCTGCCGTCCACTGCAGTTTAAGTGTGTTTAGGGTTAAAACAATTAATTAGATTAATCGGTTACTGAAATAATTACCTAACTGGAGTATAGAGACTGTAAATAATGCTTTTAGCTGAAAGAGAAACGCACGTTTTACCAAAACTGTAAAACAAAATGAGTAAACATTTTTCATTTAAGATAAAAAATATTTTTGTCTGTCAATATTCTTCAGCCAGAACTCCTCAAGTGGAAAAACTTTATTTTCACTTGGTTTAATTTAGCAAAAAGTCTTCTTTAAGGAACATTTTGCTTTAATCAATTTGCAAAATAATCTTTAGCTGCAGACTAACTTGATCTTGGTATTAATGTAGCCGTTCTGGACGTTAGGGAAGCAGTAGCGCCGTGGACACAAAATCCCAGAGCTCTGTTTGATCCATCATCTAAACCTGGAGAGGATCAACTATAGACAGGATGTCAGCAGGTCAATAAAAGTCATTAAATAATAATTTTTCTTTAAATTAAGGCCTGAATTGGCATTAAAATTCATTAAATGTGATTATTTTGGCATTTAAAATGCTTTATTTAGAAAAAACAACCAAACCATTTATTAAACAATATAGATATATATGCAAATATATTGCAATATATATTAGGGATGCAGGATATAATCGGCCCCCTATCGGTATCGGCCTTAAAACTGAATATCGGACATCGGCCACCCCACCGATATTTAACCCGATATTTGATCAGCTTCTGAGTTTCTAAAGTCTAAAAAAAAAATAAAAAAACTACTTCTTCTTCTTCCTCAAAAACTTCTTTTTTACAGACTTAAAAACTTCTAAAGACGAGGGAAAAATATTGATACATTAAAATATCCCAATATCTTCATATGCTGATATATTGCCATTTAAAAACACCATATCAATCTCTTTTACTAATGAAATATTGCTATATGTCATCGTTATGCTACGAAATCCCCCGAAAATTCACGAAATTTTGCCATATTTTTATATGTTGATATATTGACGCGGTATCGATCTATTTTACTAACAAAATCTCACAAGAATTTGCAAAATATCACGAGAGTTTGTAACAGAACGATGAAATTTCACGAGATTTTGAAAGTAAAATAGATCGATACCGCGTTTTTAAAAATCAATTTGATATCAGCATATGAAAATATATTTGAGTATATTATATTTCAAAGTGTCAGAAATGGATAACAAAACTGCTATTTTCAATGACTACTTATTTTTGTCCAGCTTTAACATCAGTATCGATATCGGCTACATGAGTTTTAAAATATCGGCATATCGGATATCGGCCAAAATCCCAATTTCATGCATCCCTAATATATTTGCATATTTGCGCGGAACTGCTGTTGATCGTAAAGCCGTATCTTCAGAAAAGAAGTTTGAGGCGGAGAAAAATCTAAATCTGGATAAGTGATTTTTTCTAAAATAAGGGCATTTGTTCTTGGATTGAGGAGGTAAAAGAGACATTTTGCAAATCGAACAAGAACATTTATACTTAAAATAAGAAAACTCAGTTGCACTCTCTTATTTCAAGAGCATTTTATCTAATTATATTGTTTTAAGAGTAAAAATACTCATTCCATTGGCAAACTGTCTCATTTACCTGCTCAAATTAAGGTTAATTACACTTAATCTAAGAAAATGTTACTTATTTCTAGGTCGTCTTTCCAGTGTAGAATGGGGGGAAATGCTAATTTCAACAAAAGTGGCTTGAAATCGAGGAATTGCTGCCTGCTGACGGTAGAAATGAAGAAGGAATTTGCCGTTTATATATGAGAGTCATGGGTCCTTGTTCATGGCATTAAAATATTTCTTTTTTTTTTTTTTACAGTCTGGCAATAAGAATAATAGTCTAGATGCCAAAAAGAGCCCAACAGATTTTACTTTCACAAGTGGAGCAGTACTGTATGGCAATTGCTCCACTTGTTTAATGCATATAAATTGCTTTATTATAAATATGCAGGGAGTTTTACAGCTTATATAGACACTGCAATGTAAGTAGAACAGAAAAACAGAAGAAGAAAAGAAAAAAAAATTAGAAAAGATGAAAGAAAGAGGAGAAAGAAAGGAGACAATGACAAAACATTTTCAGTCTGCAGACTAAAATATTTCTAAGAGCATTAAAAAGTATTAAATTAGAGTTATTCATTCCTGTATAAACCCTGATAGACCTACCAGGACATGGAGGTCCACCTGATCGCTTTTATCAGCGAGCTCTGGAAGCTGAGAGGGAAGAATCTGCTGACAGGAAACTCTAGATGCTAGCATGGTGGCAGTATTATGCTGTGGGACAGGGAAGCTGGTCAGAGATCATTAGAGGATCGGTGGAGCTAAATCCTGTTTGGATCCACCTTAAACCAGTGATTCCACCTCCAGTATGCTATAGATTGATCATTTAGAACGGCCTAGTCAAAGTCCAGGACTAAATCCAACTGAAAAATTGCATTAAAACCTAAAAACCAGAAGTTAATGAACCCGTTTTTAGCCAAACTTAATGATCTTTCAGCTGTTCTGCAAGAAAGGATGAACTAAACTGCAGAAGGCAGCAGATCTATATGAGCATCCAGACGGGCTAAATACAGACGGACGCTTCCTTTTACTTTACAGTTAGCAGAGATTCTTTATAAAAGACGTCCAGACGCTTTCGTAGCAGCACATGTTCTGACGTTTTCTCTGTTTCCATGCTGACGTCTGTCTAAAATCTCCTCCATTGTTGAACTTTTCACTAATCAGACGCTTCCTCCTCTCATCGCCTGCCTGCTCAAGCTGAAGAAAGGTGAGGCGTGTGGAAAAGTACCGTGTGAGGGTGGTGGCGGGCTGACGTGTGATAGCGCTGACTGTTCCATGGTGGGTGTGTGTGGGTGGGCGTGTCCTTGCATGCAAACGTCTCCCGCACCTGATCAGATTGAAGGTGTTGTGTCTGGGGTAGCCTTCGTGTTCTAGTAGTCCGGTTTGGTTGGTGCTGGAGGGAAAAAGGAGGATCTTATTTATAGATGTTTGAATTGTTGGCTGGATCAGATGGTGAGACGTTTACGTAACGAGCTGTGGCACACCTGTTGGCCCAGGTATTCTGGGGAGCGTCCCTCTGTTCTATGAAGCATCTTTGAAATACCAGAAACACTGAGTCAACAGCAGGTTCACGTAAGACGGAGCAGAACCAAGCAAACAGGAACTGGAGAGCTGATTACATAATGACCGGAATACGGGAGAGAAATCCTGATTATTCCGAAAACCTGAGGAAGAACTAGGAAAAAAACAATTAGATCTGTTAATTTATCCTTTATGCTCTTTAGTTCCTGGGAAGTTCGGGTTGTTTTTAGTTTTCAAGTCCACAGAAAAAGTATGAAATGAGGCAGAACAGGCTGTGCAGCTACCTGCACTGGAAAAATGACCTAGAAATAAGTAAAAATTCTTAAATTAAGTGTTTGTACCCTTAACCTTTAGGGCAAGTTACTGTTTTTGATCAGTTGCATATCCTTTACAAATGGAGTCCCTCCGTCCCTCAGTGAGGTCTAGAAGCACTAGATCTATATCCAGCCATTCAGCAAAGATCCTGCTACATGGCTGTACATCTTATTTTGGCCTTTGACCAATTAGATGAGCCCTAGAATGACATATTACCTACTGTAATTAAGATGAAAAAGAAAAAAGGTAAAAAGTTAATAAGCCTGGTTAACAATTATATTTAGGTTTATAAACTCAGAAATGTCAGTTCCAGTATCAGCATTAATGCCTCTACGCTACAAAAACAATAAAGAAATAAGTAAAAATGTCTGGAATTAAGTGTGTTTAGCCGTAATTTGAGTAGGTAAATGAGATAGTTTGCCAATGGAATGAGCATTTTTACTCTTAAAATAAGATAATTAGATAATATGCGCTTGAAATAAGACAATGCAATTGTTTTTTCTTATTTTAAATGTAGATTTTCTTGTTTGATTGGCATTTACCTCCTCAATTCAATAGAAAAAGCACTTACTTAAAAAAAAAATGACTTATTGAGATTTACATTTTTTGCAGTGTAAGGTTTCGTTGGACCAAACAAAATGTGTTTCTTTTACTCTGAGTGTTTTTCTTAAATTTCTTTTAGAAGCACTTTTGTTATTTTTCTTAATATATTCGAGCAAGTTGGTGTTTCATGTTATTAGATACATTTTTGCCATCAAAATATCCATATTTTTGGAATGTTACAATGGTTAGTGCACTGCAAAAATGTTCAAGAAATACGTATACGTTTCTTAGATTAAGTGTATTTACCCTTAATTTGAGCAGATAAATAAAATGATCTGCCTGGAATGAGTCTTATATTCTTATAAGAAGATAATATGCACTTGAAATAATATTCACTCACCTTCTCAATAAAATAAAAACACTTATTTTAAGAAAAAAATGGACTTCTTTAGATTTAATTTGTTTGTAGTGTGGAGCAGTGGGTGGATTAAAACTTTTATTTTCCATCACTAATGAACCAAAATGTCTGCCTGTCTTCTTCTTTGCGTCCAATTTACACCCCATGGTCTGTTGAGACCCACCAGTTAAACCAGTAACTGTTACTAACAAACCAGATTGATGGTTTCCTCAGAGGAACCTTTTATCAGTCGCCATCTACAGCCGTTTATGTTCAGTCAGAGGAAGTCAAATAAAAAGCATCCAGGTGAGGAGAGACGACGTGTTTAATTTCAATAACTCGGAGCTCTTCTCTGTTTGACTGCTGAGGTTTTATGTTCAGGGAGATCGGTCGGTTTATTTCTGCTCCAAATGGTTCCAGATCAGCAGAAAACGATGTTCAAACTAAGGATGAAATAATGAATTTATTGAAATAATCGTCAACTAATTTAGTAATCGGTTAATCATTAACTGGAGTTTAGAACCTGTAAAATATGCCTTTAACTGACAGAGTGACCCACTTAGAGGTAATTAAATCAAAATTAGAAGAAAAAAAATTAGCATTTAAGAGATATCAGGGTTTCTAAAGGTCATTCAAAGTCATTAAATTATGATTTTTTTTTTTTAAATTAAGGCCTTATTTGGCATTAAAATTTATTAAATGTGATTATCGTAGCATTTGAAATGCTTTATTTAAAATAAAAAAAAAAAGTTCATAAAAAAAATTTCATCAGATATATTATATTGCAATTTATTTGCCCGGAACTGCTTCCGATTGATCGTAAAGACGTATATTCGGAAAAGAAACTTGAGGCGGAGAAAAATCAAGAAAATAGGAAAACGCAGATTTTTAAAAAGTTGCCAGAAAACTATATATATATGAGAGTCATGGGTACGTATTGATGCCATTAAAATAAATTCTAAGAGCATTAAAAAGCTTTAAATTACAGTTACTCATTACTTTCGGCTCTCAATCTGCTTCATCCAGAAATGAAATGTTTTAGTTTCACCTGGATCAATTTAGTAAAAAAATCTTCTTTAAACAGAACAGATTATTTTAAGGAAAAATAATGGACGGATGAATCAATTAGCAAAATAATCGTTAGTTGGAGCTCACGTTCCAACGGCAGCAAACGGGATCCAATCGGATCTTTTTATGCCCCTAAAGATGTAAAACCTGTTCTTAAATAAACTGCAGTTTTTAAAGCGTCTAAAGTCGGAACGCTTTGCTGTATTTTCTCCCACTAAAGACTCCAGATTCCTCTGCAGCATCGCTGCTCCTTCAAAGGTCGTCCTTTCTATCCTTTTTATGCCGTAGTCCTGATGCCATCAGTTGCATAATCACACAGAGACGCCAGCATCCAACATTGTTCTTCCTTTGATCAGTCAAACTTTATCCAACACTGGAAAAAATAGAAATCTAGATAAGTCATTTTTTCTTAAAATAAGTCCCTTTGTTGCTGGATTAAGGAGGTAAAAGAGACATTTTCTGAATAGAACAAGACAATTTACACCTAAAATAAGAAAAAAACACAATTGCATTGTCTTATTTCAAGTGCATTTTATCTAATTATCTTATTTTAATTGTAAAAAATACACTATATCTCATTTATCTACTCAAATTAAGGGTAAATACACTTAATTTAGGAAATTTTAACTTATTTCTAGATCGTTTTGACATCCATCACTCTCATGTCGGTGTAGTTTTCTAGAAAACGTTTCTCCTCTCGTCTAAAAGGATTCTTCAGTTCTAATTAGTTTAATTACCCTGCCGGTCGCCTTGGTAACCCGAACTGTTCACAGAAGCCAATTTATGAACGACCACATAAAAAAAAGCATCTAGATGTGTTTGTTTACTTTCAGTCTGCGATTCGCTGCCATTTTTAGACCTCTTTTGGTTGTATGCTAACAGTTAGCATAGCCCTTTTAGAAAGGTGACGCTAAAACCAGTATCTAGAAACCTTTAATATCTGCTTTCCTGTCAGAGTCCTGCTCAATTCCATGATGCTGCCACCACCATGCTTCACTGCTGGGTTGCCTCAGTCAGCTGGGAATTTTTATTGACATGTTTTTGGTCAATTTTCCTGGCTGATGTTTTCAAAGAGCAAAACTGTGATGTTTTAAAGCTTTTCTGTACTCATCAGGCTTTAGCTTTATAAAGCAATAAAATAATCCCATTAAAAGCTGGAATATTTTAGCTGTACAGATTAAAGGACGGGAATGATTTAACAGAAGAGTTTCCTCTCTGTGGATGGTTTTTTATTTAGATATATTCTTTTAAAGGTCAGCAATGCTAGAATTAAAGGTTAACCTTATATTCCAGAGATTACGGTAAATGTTATATAGGAATAAAACCAGCAGAAATACAGGAAGTATAATCTGATCATTTAATTTGAAATAATCTGATTCTCAGCAGGGTTTTGAAACGACATAAATCCAGTTATTAAAAGAACAAAGATGACGTTTCACACTGAAGGATGAAAGGCTTTGGTTCTGATTAGGACTGGTTCTAAAGAAACCATTTAAAGCAGGAAAGGGTTGCTGGTTCCAGAAAGCCGTTAGTGTTGGATGTTAATGAAATAACCGATCTTCTAGAACCACATTTTCAAACTTCGCATGAGAAATTAAAGCTGAAAAAAGGCTTTTATTTGAAGCGTTTCCTGAAAAGTTGCTGATTTATGTTGAGAAAAAAGCTTCTGATCAGAGGAAACTGGTCAGTTTTTCTCATATAAGTAAAAAAAAAACAATAATTTTCCTCCAAAACAATAAAATAATCATCAGTTTCTCTCCTGTGACCTGATTGGTTGGTTTATTTCTGCTCCTTGAACTGCAGCCATGTGTGACACAGTTTGTGGCGCCACCTGCTGACCAAACAACAAACATGCATTTTATTAATTGAGGTTAGGATTTATTTTTACGGGTAAAAAGTTAATTTCACAGCTGTGCTGTCGGGGATCCGTTATTATTTCACGGTTGTAGATTAGTAGCTTTTTATAATTACATCATAATTAAATAGTGAGGATCATAAATGGGAGATGTTGATCTGCTAAGAAGGTTACCAGGAGCCTCCAGGCTGCTGATGTCGTCCAGGTAGAGAGATTGCTGTTTCAGCTCTGCAGCCTCCAACGCTCTCTTCTCCTCTCGTTGTCAGGCTCCTAACGGCCAGGCGCCGGCCGAATACGAGGCGGTGGCCACGTCGCAGCGAGACCAGAGCGACGCTCGGCAGGCGTCCGTCTCCGAGGAGCAGCCGGACGCCGCCCGCCCAGCTCCTGATGGCCAAACGCAGCCTGCATCCGATGCAGCAGGAAACTCGCTCTGACTCCTCCCTCCTCATCAGCCCACAGCGTGAAAGTGTTCAAACCTGCTGCGGTGGTGAAATCTCCTCACCAATCTGTAAACTCTGTTTCTATGTTTATGGATAAAACAGCAGCCTTTATGAGCTGGAGGACTGGAGTCAGTGAAGGTTTCTTTTCAGGCTCTAACTTGAAGCAGAGGTGCTGGTAGTGAACCAAACTCCTCAAGGTGGCTAAATCAAACGCACCTTCTGCTCTCTGTGCACTGGATTTCTGAAGGACCTTCCTTCAGGTGTAGATATGCTCCTTTCTAAGTTATTTAAGTTAATTTAAATGAAAAGTAATGAAATCTGACAGGATCTGGATTGTTAGAAGGTTTTCAATCAGCTTTGATTTATTTTTTTAGTGACGCTGGTTGGTGTTAGTTCTCATTGGCGGCTGTAAAAACGCCAAACTGTTCATCCCAGGTTGTTCTGATTGTCAGTCAGCTGTGAGGTTAAAGGCTGTTTGTTAACTTTAACTGTAAACGACCTTCTGAGGAATGAAGGTGACCTGTGATCACTGTGAGAGAAGCTGTAATTTAACAAAAACTAGAAACCTGCAAATGTTCAGAGTTTCTACATCATTCCTAAAAGCCGGAAACAGTCTGGAAGTTTGATTTTAGGATTTCTGTTCAAGTTTAGATTAAAAAAACACAAGTTTATAGAAATATTTGTATTTCCTTCCTTTTTTTTCCTCCTTATTTGAACATCTCCTTCCTTCCTTCCTTCCTTCCTTCCTTCCTTCCTTCCTTCCTTCCTTCCTTCCTTC